ATAACAATTAAATCACATCATTCTGACATCAAAATGACAACAAATAACGTTAGCTTATTTGCTAGGATATAATTATTTTGACGGTCCAACAAAATTATTTTAAATCTGTATCGAGCTAAATTTTTAGATACTTCAGCAAAATTGTTTTTTTCCGTGTACGTTGCAGAATTTACAGCGTCAGATCCAGAATTGTACGGCGAGACAGAGTTAATCTCCTCAGTTATTTTCTTGTTTTTCATTCTATATTTACGTCGCAGCACGCGGTCGCCACGTTGCAATAGGTGCACGTGCTCGCGGCTTCGTCCGATCATCCGATGATTCAAGATCAGTTCACTGAGGAAAACGTTTGGTATGAATAACTATTTATTGATATGTGACTTACAAAAACTTTTTTACCTTTTAATTGAAAAATTTTATTGTTTTAATCAAAATTTGATTAGAATAATGGTAAATTGGACAACCAAATTTTGTTTAACAAAATTTTTTAATTAAGAAGTAAAAAAGTCTTTGTAGGTCACATATTATATAAAACATTTCTCTCAGTGTAAAAACTGCTATAATAAAAATAGAACATCCATAACCACCGTATAACTCCTCCTTCTCCTCATATTCATTTTTGCTTTGCAACTTCTTCAAGATTACATGATTAATTAAAACTGTTAAAAGAACCCTTGACGTTGAACAGAAACTTGATGAGAGAAACATAACTTTTTTTAAACACGTGATTTTCCCGAAATGCAAGTATTGTAGTTTTTCTCCTGAATCATGATTGTATCCAGCGACGTTATCACACTTGATCAAGTGCGTGACAGCTGAGCAAATCGATTTAAAGGTATTAGTCAGGAAGACTAATGCTTCCATTGTTTCACTGTGAAAACCTTTTTTGTCCATACAAACTAAGTGTGCTTTTTAATATCTTTATCAATTTTATTTTATCTGCACTGAAAGGTGTATTACGTTAAAAGCGAAAACGAAACGAAATGAAAATTTGTTATGTTCTCACTAGTTCAGGTTTTTTTTTTAAAAAACCGTCATTTTTTAGAAAAGCTGTCGATGCTTTATGCTAAACGATTAGCAGAATCATTTCTCAATGTTCGCCAATTCCAAATTGGGCTTACCAGAATTATCAATTTTCTGGCTAAATGCCGCTAGTAGTAGCCATCATGTCATCGTTAACCAGAAATGTCGGGTGTCGGGTGAGAAGCATTTACATAACGTTGCTCGACTGGGACGTCCGTGCGATTGATGATTCGCCTATTAACGTCGAGACGATGTCCCAGATCACGCTTGATCTACCGCTATGAGTGATTGCGTCGTGGAAGTATAACTCGCACATATAACGCACGCAATTCGCGCGAACGGTGGTCACTTCCGAATTATTGTCGTTCATTGTACCTGGCAGTACTAAAATAATCTGGAGACAGTACTGCAACTTTATGCGGAGACGAGGTATCGGGCTAGTGAGGAGCGCTTATGCTATTTCTGCCGATCGTTTTTTGGATCGAGCGCTATTAACAAAAGATGACCAATGAAAAGCGAGCGTGTGCCGATGATCGGACAATAGTACGCGACGAACTAAGAAAAACATACGCGACAGCGAGATTTAAATATCGTGTCGCCCGCCACTTATGCAGCGTAAATTTGGTCCGTAATGAGTTCGCGCGGAGTTTTAATTTCGATCGCCAAACCGCGAATGACGTGTCGTCAAGCCGCGACAATGGGCCGTCGCAAAGATAATTTTATGCCTTGCCGCAAGGTAACAGTAAATGTCACTGAACATTTTGCCAGCGGTTTTGGAATCTTTTATAAGTAAGTTCTGGATCATACCATTCGTGTAAACGAAATTTCTAACAGTCAATTTTTAACAGTAAATGTCAATAACACTAAATTTATTGCCAGCGGTTTTGAAACTTCTTGTAAGTTTTAAATATCATACGTGCAAACGGAACTTTTGAAAATACTTTTAAAGAGGACGAGAGAAACAGACACTTAAATAATCGAGCAGTATCATAAATTTTAATTTAATATTTTTAGTAGTCAATTTTTAATAGCGAATGTCACTGAACACTTTGCTAGTTTGGAATCTTTTATATACATATAAGTTTTAAATATCATTTGTAGAAACGAAACTTTTGCAAGTATTTTTAGAGAAAGCGAGAGAGCTTATAATATAAACGCTTATAATATAACACAGCAGTGTATCATAAATTTTAACTTAATATTTTTTTTAATAGTCAATTTTTAATAGTAAATGTCACTGAACATTTTACCAATATTGAAAGTCTTTATAAGTTTTAAATGTCATTCGTAGAAACGAAACTTTTGGAAGATATTTTTAATGGCAACTCTGTTCAGTTTAATTATAATTTAAATTAAAATTTAATATTTTTAATGACAGTTCTGATAAATTTTAAATTAATTACACAGAGTACAGTCGAAAATTTTAATTGTTATAATTTATAATGATGTTTTGGAATAAACGTTGACTCGTTCGTAGATGAAATTTCTAGAAATCTAAAATTACAGTCACAAAACTCAAATATAGAGACGCTCATTCCTTAATTTTTTATAAAATGTTATACAATAAATATAATGTTTAATGAACAAAATTTTTGGCTTTTCTCGCGAGTTTCGATTCGAGGCATCGCAGTCGTCGCGGCTATTTTTGTCAATTCCGTGTATGTTAATCAGGCGGATACACGAAAGCCACAGGCAAGGTGATAGACAACAGTAACGAATCGTAAAACGAAGCATGCGATCTGAAATTGCATTACGTGTGAAGTAACACGGCGATTTATGCATGCAAAAAGTTGGTCGAGAAGTTCTGAAATCTCAGCGGCGTGTACGTTGTACATGAGCGCGAACTGCCGCACGCACGCGAACGCCCGTGTCCGAGAATCAATATTTGCAGACGCTTCCAATAAAGGAGCTCGTAATTTCGAGAGGAAGTCGTTGGCGCGAAGAGCAAAGTGGTTTCCGTGCCTGCTCGTGACGAGCTATTAGGAGTTCTCACTGGTTAACTGTAAGTCGCAGTTTTGACACGAATGTTCATTCCTCAGTGCCTCTTAACAAAAAGAAAATTAATACGATACATTAATTAATTCTAGAATGGTCGAAGGAATCAAAAGCTATTTGCAAGAGAACATTTCTAATCGATGAGGAAGCTCTTTGACGTCCTCTCGAGCTACAGATTTTTTATTAATTTGAAACTATCGAACGGTTTAAAAGCACTTGACTGTCAAAATAACTGATTCAACGGTTCCAAGCAGTTGTATTTTTTTTTTAGACAAGACGAGAACCAGATATTGAAGCGCGTCTTCGACAAACTGTGTCACAATGCGTTTCGGAAAGTCTACGACGCCAACTGTGCCTAGGCCACTTATTTTTATACAAAACTTCGTATCCGCGTGATTTTTTTCGGATCAGCTCGTCACTCATTTAACACTGACCTTGGAAGTAATGAACGCAAAAACTGCTACGCGAAATTAAGGCACGTGAAACACGTCAGCTGTCAATCAATGAGCTCGCACGAAGGCCTTCTCTATTTTATTCAGCAGGCGTGAAGCTTCTCGGAAGATTATTTTTCTCGGTATGATATCTCAGAAATGGTTCTCTCATACTTATAATTTGCTTAAATGAGAAGGCACGTCACAGGAAGGCATGTTTTCTGCAACAGCATATTACGTATGTTTCGCGTATAACAATGTGTGGATTAACGTTAATTATAGATAATTAAATTATCTTTTTTATATAAATTATATTTAGGGGGTAAAAGAGGACGGGTTATCTCAATTACACATTCAAAGTTTAATGATATATTTCAATAACATGCAGAGTTTACATCAAGGGTGAGTTATGTAACGTCAACTCGATAGAGCGTATAGCTTTTCTTTCTTTCATTGGCATTCCATTGTCATGGAAAAGAATAAAATAATATAGTAATATCGTGGTAATGCTGACCGAGTGGAAAATACAGTAAATACAGTGGAGCGATCATTTCGGTCGCATTCTAGGTACAATACTTATTTGGCAACAATTAACAACAATCGAGATCAAAGATCATCCACGTAGTGATTCTCCCAGCTTTGACGAAACTTCCAGAGCAACCTCGGCACAAGTACCATTTTATGAGTGTTGATCCCAAGGTATATGCGAGATTCCTATGGTCTCAAAACTGGAATTTCACACGATGCACGGTGGCGTATTCGTTCGATTTAGGCGGCCAAAAGTCGATTTTTTAAAACTTATTCCAAGTGAAAATAAAGACTATTTAAGAAAGCTGAAGAGTTAGAAAACAATTGACTATATCTAATGTCTATCGTTACGCGTAAACAAGCAACCAGTCCAATAGTCGAAATCTATCGTTTTCTTGAACAAATTTTTACAAACTCGAGGATAATAGTATAAGTAGTACTTCTGGATGTTTCTCGATAATTTTTTTTTACTTTAATAAAAAGATGAAAGTTTCTAGGTTTTTACTTCACGATTTCGTAAAAACCAGCCGCGGAATCGCGCGATTGTTCGTGTGATGTAGCCAATATAAGTTTATTAAAGTAATAAATAGGAATTTCTTAACCTTTCATGCGTTTATTTCTGGTTTCAATTATTTGAATTTGATTTTAGAGTTAATAATGATTCGAGAAAAGTTGTTCAACATGATGGAGCAGCAAAATTTACCAAACATTAACAAAAATTGGAATTTTTAGAAAATTATCTGTTAACTTCTGAAAATTATTCAGAACAAATAAAAGGAAATAAAATATTTAAAAAATTATACAAAACTAAAAAAATTAAACAGATCGTTTTTTAAATTAAACTAATTAAATAAAATTTTTTAAACTAAAAAAAGATATTTAACAATAATAATTTAAATAATAGTTTAAATTTTTTAAACTAAGATAAGATTTAACAATAATGATAATAATATTTCTTTAACTAATTAAATAAGATTTTTAAAAATAAGATTTTATATATAGCGTAATATATAGCCTATAGTAAAAATTAAATTATATTTTTTTCATAAAAAAGTATTTCCTACAGCTTAAAATACAATGAATTAGTGAAACATTTCGATCCACTTAAACTATAAAAATAAATTTGGCCGCCTAAATTGGTCAAATATCCCACTATGCGACGTGTCGATAGGATATACAGAAGAGATTTGCGATGAGATTGGAGATCGCGATACGAGATCTTTCGCCGTTGATGAAACTTCTGGCAGTAAGGGTTCTAATTGTAAGATTAAAAATGCGCGGAGTGTCGCTAAAACGTTTAATAGATCCGGAAAACAAGAACTGTGGAATTTTAACGACTTTAAACCACTTGGGGCGTATCATCGAGATTACTTCAACATTTCATACTTAGCTATTTAATCTAGTCGAGGAAAAGCGCGTCGCGTTCCTTTCGCGATCGATAAATCGTCACTTACGAATCAGCAACGATCATCGTCGACGAACGCACGGCATCCGCGATAATAGAAAATTTTATTTAATTCGTTTTCAAAACAGATAAAGACTCGCGAACGCTCGAGGTATGAAATTTCTCTACAAGTGTAAAGGCGCAATAACGTTCTAGGTGGTAAATTGCAATTTGGTGAGACAATAGACGAGAAATATATGTCCTTCGCGGGGAAGCAGAATTAAAGTGTCGTCGAGCGTCGCGAGAAACGCTCGATCTCGTCAAATTGCAACGAGTAGTCGCGCGTCTCTAACAACGAAACCCTTCTCTTCCGGCTATTTTGTTCCTCGAATTTTTTAGGATCATTTTATTGAACCCACGAGGCTGGTACCCAAAGCGGCTCAGATTCCACTCGATGGATTGCGTTGATTAGTTGCTCGAATGTTATGGAAAGGTCAGCGTTCACAATCACCTCGTCGAAAAGATGAGAATACAAGAACTCTATCCTTTCCGCACTGTGCAGGATCTCGTGAAATTCTTCGTCCTGCAATGGAATATAAGATTGATGATAAAATACAATCCTGAACTTACTCTTTTAGATTGCAAAGATGTTTATTGTTAACCTTTCGGAATTGACGAAATGTGTGTAACACAGTTATTTCTTCTGGATCTATAAGACCTATTTAATTTATGTTGACTAGTACTAATTAATTTAGAAAAATTAAAATGACATAAATCTAATTAAATACGAAAATTCCTATATTCGATTAAAGCATCTAAAATTGAAAATATTTTCTTAATAAATAGCTTAAACATAATTATTTAAAAATTAAATGTTCAAAAATAGATAAATAGAAGGATGCTAAATTAACGTGCAAAATGTTAATATGCTCCGAAAATGCTCCGAGAATGCTCCTTTTGAAGACGGATCTTAGTATTTAAATATTGTATTTCTTGTGTAAATTTATATACATATCTGATTCTGCATATTGCGCGCTGAAATCTTTTCCGGGCTTGAAACGCCATCATGAACAAAATCAGAATAGTAGTATCACTTTATTGGCAGTAGTATATTTAAGAAAGAACCAAGTTATGAAATCAAGTTAGGAAATGGTTGTGATTTTTTGTCACAACCTATATAAATACAAATTTCCAACTTTACCGTGAAGCCTCGAGAATTGCTCTCGTCGAAGGTCGACCTCGCTCGTGCTTCGTTTCTGGTGTCCTTTAGCACTTCGAACGTTGGCGGTTTCACATATATGACGTATGGCCTCAATTGCGGTGTCCTTAGCATCTTGAGGGCTTGATAGTGAGGACTTAAGAGGCACACGTATCCGGCGTTTACGAGCGAGCTGACGCTCTCGGAACTGGTACCATATAAATTTCCCTTATACTCGCCATACTCGATGAATTTTCCAGCCTCGATGTCTTCCTCCATTTGCTCCCGAGTCATGAAATGGTATTCTTTACCGTTTATTTCACCTGGTCGCGGTGGCCTAGATGTGTCTGATAAAAGTGTAATTGTTTCGTTTAAAAAGAATACTAGATTAAAACAAATTAAGTGGATATTTCCTACTTTACAATTATTTTTAAATTATTTTAACTTTTTTGATAGATTTACTAAACACTTTTTATTTCGGTTCTCTTATTTTTCAAATTACTTTTATCTCGCGATTTATTGATCGTTGATTTAATTTTCTCACATTACAGTCATTCCTTAAATGTATTGGATACAATATACATGATTTTTTTCCATTTTCAATTATGTTTCATAATATTTGTGAATTTAATTTTTCTTTTAACCTTTAATTAATTACGCGAAATCATCGCGATCCCCGTCATTTTATTTAACGATATGATCGAATATTTTCGCACGACTAACTAAAGGTCAAGCTAATCTCTCCCTTCTTATCTTCGCTGTGAGTTCCTTGGTAAACTTACAGGGAACAGGAGTCTTGTACTTTTCGGTATCAGTCGCCATGAGCCGCCTCTTCAACTCGTTCCTGCCGACTCCCGGTGGCCCAATGAGAACCACCGGCCGATATAGGCCCGGCCTGGGGTAGAGTTTCGCGACCTCTTCGTAGGTCGGTACCTCTTCCCGGTCGAAGTCATCGTTCTCTGCAGCGTCATACATGATTTTTTTAGTTTTAGTTCCCTGCAAGTTGCACTTTGTAGGCGAGGCGTGCAAAGAGGTACTGGGACGGGGGCACAATGCGGGCAAAGGCACTGGAACAGAACACAAGCCTAACCGACGGTTAGGTCGTCAGGCCATTCATTTGTTAAAGAAGCGCAGCCGAGATTAGCTTACTGAATTAACGGGTAACCACCTCGGACACAAGTCTACCGCGCACTCAACTACCGACTGATCCTAAAGTGTACTTGAGGTGGTCACTAACGAATTTAATTCATTATGCAACATTGCTACTTGTACGCCAAAATCAGTGGCAAGCTTTAACAATATCAGCCTTCAAACAGAGCATTCTCGGAGCATATTGGCATCTTACATATTAATTTAGCATTCTTCTATTTTATCTAATCTATTTTTTTAAACAGTTAATTTGTGAATAATTATATTTAAACTATTTATGAGGGAAATGTTTCTGATTTTAGAAAAAAGGAACATTTGGTACTTTTTTATATACTTGACGTATATATGTATATGTATGGTTCAATATTGGCATTTTGCATGTTATGTGTGTTTTCAAGAAATTTAAATTAATTCTAGAAATGTATTTTAACAAAACGTAAAATTTTGTCAATATACTCCGAGCATCTATTGACATCTATTTTATAATTACGGATTTCGTGCAACATTGATCGATATATATCTGCCGCTAAACAATATATATGTATAAACATCAAAAATATGAAAACACTCGACGATTATTTGACTCGATGAAATGAATGATTGCGAAATAAGATCAAGACAAGCGAGTTATTCAATCGAACAAACAAACCCATTGTCATACTTATATTGTCTTCTTCTGGTTTCTCCTTTTCTTTCTCTTTCCTTTCAAGAAGAATTCTACGTTCTTGAAGAGCTCTGCTGGGGATCAAGCCTGCTCTCATATTTCGATCACCTTCTCGCCTGGCTTGCCACCTATGTTTATAACCAGCATCATTATAATTAATATTAAGTGAAAATTCACAATGAAATATTCAAGCACTAATTATAATATAAGATCATTGTCCAGCTTATATCATGTAGGCTTTACATTGCTTAATTGTGTATTCACAAATTACTTAAAATATTTTGCATTCAGATTATATGAATACAAACTATCTTACCAATAAGCGTCATCTTGACTGACAATATGCAGAACGTCACCCTTGACAAAATCTAATCCGGCTTCTTTACAAGGAATGTAAGGGTCGTCGGCAGCCACATACGAAAAGTGTGCTTTGACGCGAACCTAAATTTATACATATTTAATTTACACATATTTACAATATAATTTTGTTTTATCAAGGATCTGTCAGAGACCTATTGCGACTATTACCTTGCTCTCCCTGATTCCACTTTTGCTGTCCGCGGGTACTATTTTAAAAGTGATTGTCCCTTCTGAATTTTGCTGGAAAAAAATCGAATTACGTAAGAATTTTTAATAGTGACACCCTATTTAAAAATCAAAAAAAGGTACTCGAATATTGTATCTTATTACATAAGTAATGGAATGTTCAAGTAGAAACTTGAAAATTTCACTTAGTCTCTTTAAAATAATATCACACGTTGAATATATAGTATGTTATGTACTATTACAATACTTTATAAAATAACAAACGTAAAAATAATTTTTATGAATATCCAAATGATCTTGGAAACTTCATTGAAATACACTACTGCTTAAGCTGAGAGCTTCTCAAAATTTAATCAGTTTGATTATTTCTACCATAAATTTTATTCTAATAGTGTACATTTAAAAATAAATATTGATATTTTTAATAAAATAAATATATCTAAAGAATCTCATGCTTTTATGTAAAAATTACAGATTCGAAACTTTGGATCGGTGGTGTGTCTTTTATACTGCTCTTTTATTTGCCGTATTTGCTAATAATGAGATAAGAAAATGTTTAACCTACCAAAATGTGTAAAACAAAACTGGGTGTTTTTCCCTCGACGCTGATACCGTTGACTTCGCAGACCTCGTCACCGACGTGGATGAGACCGGATCGGTCGGCTGCGCCGCCGTGCATTATCCGTGCGATTACGATCTTGCCGGTGATTTCGCAGGTTTTTATGGTCGCCCCCTAATGTCAAGGTGTAAAATCTAGTATTGTCATTGCGTTGCATTTCGCGCGCGAACGCGTACTAGGGAGTGCCTTCTTCCACTTTTTAAAAAAATGGTTAAAAATAAAAGTCTTCTTATAGAAAGGCAGACGCGATATTAAAATCGGCATGCGCCCGACGATTTTTTCATGGCACAATCGATTAATTGAAATCGTCGAAATTGTGCAATACAAAAATAGACGAGCACAGAGCGCATCGATAGCATGAATATCCAAAGGGTATCGTAAAGATATCTGAAATGTTTGATTTTTTAGTTATCAATTATTTGTGATGAATCTTTTAAAATCTCCTTTGAAGATTCATGTTGTTTAGAGTATATACTTTTTGTTCTCTGCGCATTTTCCGAGATAAACAGAAATAGGCATTTTAAACAATTTGCAAAATAAATGTAACAAAGGTAGAATCTCGAGAAACATGTACCGCGAAATACAGTTACCGGTAATATTATTTAATTATGATTGCTCGAAGAAAAAAAGATAAATTTTATTTATTATAATATCTTGTTGTATGCTCGTTTCTGTGACTACGATCTTATATTTATTTATTACTTTGCATATAATAAACTTGTATTTTTTATATATTTTCAAAAATATGAAATTACAACAAATGGTATTTGAGTTTTATTGATATTTTCATTCAATACCTTTAAATTTTATTTGTTTAAATTTAATTTATACAGAATATTTAATTCAAGCGTATTTTTTCAAGACAAGCTTTCGCCAAAAGGTAACTCCACTTCAAGATACTTCAAATACAGTCATGCGGGACAATGACAACAAATACAGTGATACAACAGATTTTATTTACAAAGCAAAAGAACAACTTAAACAAGACACAATGCAATGGACGCAACAAAGACAAACAAACAACAACAAAATCAACAAATTTGTGCAAGGAAGAGAAGGACATGACAACGCTTCATTTACAAATGAATTTATATCCTGTGATATCGCAGATACGATAACGAGAGGAAAGGATTGATTAGAGATCTACGTTGAAGCAGGGATTGAAACCGGTTTGATTCTGATTGATCTTTGATCAATCCAAATTTTTGTTCCTAATACTCGCAATTTCCGTTGCCGCTCCTCGCCTGTCTTACGACAACGGAAGTGGCACGCGATGAAGTTCTACCAGTTTCGATCCCGACGCTAAAGTGAGCGGTGGAAACGAAAAGAATGACGGCTGAGGTACAGGGCAGTTTCGTACGACGTAAAGTCAGGTGTTCATCACAGGTGCTCAGCACATGTTCTACGGCATTCAGGCGACTTACCACGATCGGTTCAACGCCGGCGTCGCCCTTCGAAGCAAGTTTGACGATGAAAGAAACACGTGATTACTTGGTTACTTTTTCTTCGCACTCGTGAGGCTACTCGTTATACGCTCGGAGGATATTCTCTCAGTATCCAAGTTACGAAATATACGTGACTCGCCTGTCTACGCCGATACTGGGGAACGTTTTACGCGTCTCATGCAAGTCGACGCGAATGTACAACCATGTGTGGGCGGAAAAACGAATCTTTAAGGCTCTTGCAAAAAAAAGTAAACTACTTTCGACAAATTTCCCTCCTTTTCCCCTGTGGCTTCTTAAAAACACAAACGCATACATTACACTCGAATTGCTACTACTTAATTGATAATTAAGCCTTTTTTTCTCCCTTTTACGCTATTGCTCACACTCTTGGGTTAATCGAGTGAAAGATGTTCAGAAAGACACCGTTATTACAAATGCCGACTTAACGATCGATACGACATACCAGGGGCTCGTTCGACTTCACTAGCTGGACGATCTTCACCGTTTCCTCATCCTCATCCACTTCCAATGGGATATCCGGCAGCCTCGGATAGTAGTCCTTTTGCGCCACGGCATCATGAGCACAGAGGAGACCCTTCGGTGAAGAAAGTTGTTTTAGAATACACACTCTCAGAAACGTTCATTTCTTCATAGAATTATTAAATTACAAACAATAAAAAGAATCGACATTTGAAAAGAAAATTTACGAAAAATATTTTATTCTCTTATTTCTAACGTGGCACAACCCAAAAAGAGATTACTTTTTCTAAAAAAGAGGGAAAACTGTTTTTCAACTTGATAGAAAATTATCGACTAATCAAATAATATCGACAAAAAATATATACTTTTAGAAATACAATAAATGTTATTTTTGTTTTATAAACCTTAAAAACGACCCTTTTTAAGCTGTAATAATTTCAATATCCTACACAATTATAACAAATTCAGAATAATTTATCAAAAATGACTAAATTCAAAATATAACAATTTCTTCTTTGATCACAAAATTGTCTTAACTCTAAACATTTTTTATAGAAGATTTTCGTTTTTATTTATAAAAACAATTCAACACACAACATTAACTTAAAGTACAAAATATATTCCATATATTATTATAATTACCTGGATGTGTGGCTTCTGCAACAGGTGGAATAGCTCCTTGCACTCGGGCGAGACGTGTGTTTTGGTCGACAACAGATCGAGAACTTCAACATCGATGTCCATCGAGTTTGAGAGCACGGGGAAGAATTTATCATCCTTAACATTGTTGAGGATCTTATTATGAACGTTCACCAGGGCGTTCAGTTCCTTGGACTGCAGCAGCTCACTGAGAAATCCAAATTCCTCCTCGGTACAACTAGGTATCTCTGACTTGTTCTCCTGCAGCGAGTTCAGCAACTTGGACAACGCTGGAATAAGTGAATAGATTAAATCTGAGACACAATTGAAAAGCACAGGCAATAGAAACAGGTTGAAATCTATTATTCCCTGTTTCTATTGCCTGTGCTTTTCAATTGTACTTTAGGCTTTAGATTCGACTATCTGATAAAAGTATTGAAAATTCGCTGTGACGGAGTTAGGCCCGACCTCCGTGTGTTAAAATAATTTATAAAGTTAATTAAAATGGAGAAACATTGAAAAACTGCTGTGTTTTCATTTCCTCATTTAAATCCACTTCTTCTTCTTTTATTATCTTCCGCTTTAAATAAACTTTAGCGTAAAGTATAAGTGCGTATTATTAGAGTCGAATAGCGCTAATTACGTTCTCCATATTTAAATGCGGAAGTACTAAAATTGGAAACGGTGTAACGAACTCTTATCTCTTTTCTACATAATACTATAATTATTTTAATTCAAAGGCACAAGGATTTCTCGTTGCATTTATGCGCCGATCGATGTCATCGATATAGGATTCATTTTTAAACGCGGATCACTCGTTCGAGACCTCATTTTCATTCAAGCAAATTGGAGCACGTGGAATTGTGCGGTCGCGAGTTGGAATATCGGCACAGCAGCGTTTTATCAGAAAAGACCCCGTTATTACTCGTACAGTTTATTTACTCTGCTTTACCCTCGCTCTATATTTATAACGTACCACGCTCGCGCTCGACACGCAACGTTTTATTAATACGTCTTTGAAGAGTATGTTCAGTCGCGTATTGGATTATGCTACGTAACTTGCTCCAGTAACTCTCTCTCTCTCCCTCTCTCTCTTCACTTATACGGGAAACAACGACGGAGGTCTTATCGACACGCCGTCGCCACAACAATAGGTCAACTTCGTCGAAAACACCCTCGCCGCGCGAAGCACCACCATGCCTTATCTCGCTGCGCAATACGATCGTGTCGAGGGTGAAACGTGAAAAACACGTGAAAACACCCTCTAAGTATCAAAGGTGTCCTAGAGCAAGGTTTCTCGACCCGTCGACTTACCGGGATCCCAGTTAACGTTTTCCATGACGACCGCCGCTGTCATAATTCGCACTCGGCACCCCGGTCAGGCGTGTCGCCGCGTTTCCGAGGCACGATAGACGAGGACGACGTGGGCGTAGCGACGCTCGGCGTTCGTTTAAGCGACAGGTATCAGAGACAGCGATAGCGGGATCCGGGTCGGCGTATTTCTGTCGGGGTCGAGCGCTGCGCCGTCGCCGCAGCGTCGACGGCCCTCCCGGCGACGATGCTGTCCCGCTGCTGCTGCTTCCTCGCGTCAACGTGTCGCGTTCGCGCTGTCTGGAGTATCGTTATCATAGCGAGAATAATCCGTTACGTAAGCAGCCTGTCACTCGACACGGGGTAGGATGACCGCCGGATTGGCCTGCCGTCCCTGCCCCGTGCGACTCCTCGGCATAGCACGCTCTTTTCTCTCTCTCTCTCTCTCTCTCTCTCTCGCTCGCTCCTTCGATCTCTCTTCCTCGCGTTCTCTACGAGATCTGCTCCGAAATCCGACGCACTCTCCGAAGATGCACTCTCACGCGTTCACGGCTGAGAAGCCCTTTCTCGCACTAGTGCACCCCCGATGAAGCTCGCACGTTCTTCACATCTCTCCAACGCGGCGGCCACGGCACCGGCGCGATGCCATGTTGAGAGGCGCCGCGGACAATACGCTCCGCGCACCCTTCGTTAGCCTCTGCTCCGTTTCCGACTCGCCCGACGACAGCCTGATCGTTCCGTCTCGCTCTCCCTGCTGTTTTCGTGGGTAGCGAAAAAGAGACGGACGATTCTCGTCGAAACTCGACCCTATCTTTCTATTCACGCAGGGACGGCGTTGGTCGAAAGTCATATGGTCATCTCGAGACTGCGTCTTCGAATGCCAAATAGATTTCTCTTCTCTAGTTTGAGTTTATTACATTGTTAAATATTATAAAGGAGCAATCCAATCTCTTGAATTAAATAAAATTTTGTTATTTTTTTATGTTAGGTTTATTTTGCATTGAGAAGAATCGAAAACGTCTGGTCGAAACGTCGGCACAGTAAACATTTTTTATATAATGTATATTATTTACGTAATGACGACTGCATGGGCTCTTAAATGACTTTCATTTCTTTTTATTAGATCTATTCTTAGAGCTTCATTCATATTCTTACATTTTTGTTTTAATTTTCATGTGTGGTAAAATGTAAATCAATCCATTTCTGTGATTAAATTGCTAATTTCAAAATAAGCAACGTTTCCATATCAAGTGTGCCCTTCATAATAATAATTTGATTCAAATTTATATATACTTTTAATTAAATTGTTTGACTTCATTGTTTTAATTAAAATTAACAACATATTGATTGGGAGCAAGTGGCGATCTATAGAAATGATTAAAAATAACTCAAATTGGATATAATTTGACATTATAATTTTAACAGTATAATTTGTAATTTGTATAAATGGTAATAAGTTCGAAAAATTGGCGAGATTTTTTTAACGTCTTTGATGTATGAAAAAATTTTTGTGCGGTATTTATAAGAAATAACAATCTCAATACAAAAATGTGAAACAAATAATGCACTCAAAACCGTGTAATCGATTATGATAATCACAACAGAATATGCTCTATGTATGTGTATAAAATAAAAAAATACAGATCAAGTCGGCTGAATTATGAACTCTATACCCTGGAAAACATTTTTTATATATAATTATATATAATTGTATATAAATGGACCTATTTTATATATAATTATATATAAAAGTACATAAAATTATATATAATTACATAAAATTATATATAATTATATATAATTATATGTAATTATATACAAAATATGTGCATTTATATACAGTTATATAAAATTATATACAAAACATTTTTTTACGAGTATGTAGGTATGTATATATAGATATATACATATAAGAAGTGTTCTAATAAAGAATATATAAAAAATATATTTAGAAATTAAAAATGCAAGATAAGGACAGAATCGGCCGAATCCTTTAAACGCGGAACGATCGTATGGAACGTAAGTTCGATATATTCTGATTATCTAATAGTCTTATTCATAAAAAAATATATATATGTACGAATTTAATTGATTTCGATTCAAGTTTTACAGAATTATACACAGGCCGGCGTATCGAGTATGTGGCGCCATCTATCAACGATTTGTAAAACCTAATGCAATGTAGCGTTAGCCGATAATAAACAATATTGCATTATATTAATCGTATTAATTAATGCATCAATAAATTAAACTATCTGATTATGTCTGATCGTATCAGCTTCATTGTGCTGGTAAATACTGCGGAATTCCATTCGAGATATAATTTGAAATTTCTCGTCTACTTCTCATCCTTTGTGTAGAGAAGAGACGTCTTATCGTACGACAAAATTTATTATCTACATTACATTTTTTTTCTTCATTTTATGAATGAAAATGTAAAAATATCGACGCGATATTCTACAAATGAATGAGAGAAGTCTTCAAGAATCGCGAATTCTGCATGCACGCGTTTTCGTCAGTGTTGAAAATCGCACATAACGCCTTTTCTCGACGACGAAGAAACGGCGAGATGGACAGAGAAGGAGAGGGCGAGTCAGTTCTTCCCTCCTTTGCCCCGCACCGAGCGCCACGCGACACAGTGCGGCATCGCGACGACGACGGCGCCGCACCGCGTCGCGCCGCGTCGCGGCGCCACCGTCGTCGTGTGTACATGCAGTTGTCTGTAAGCGAAACGTCTCGCCGCACGCCTCCCGCGGGCCACCGTACTTCCCATTTGATTTCCCGCGGAGTTTTCGCGCGGCGAATCGCGCCGCGCTGCTTCACACGACCCGCCGATCCGTGCCGGCCCCCCGAGTTTCGGTAAGCTCGCCGGTTTCACTTTACTTTCCGCCGCGCGAACCCGCCGTGTAGCGTTTGACATGGCGTGTGTTTGACATACGCGCGCGCGCGCGCGCCGTCCGATTTTCGCGACGTTTTCCAGCGTGCGCTCGCGCGCGCGATCGCGTAAACTCGCCGATGCCCGTCTCCGGACGCGCGCATAACGGCGTCTTCGTCGTCGTCGTCATCGCGACGGCCGATCTGGACGGACGCCGACAGCGAAAAAAAATCGCGGCGATCCGCCGACGCGGCACGTTGGTGCGACCGGGCGATCCACAAGTGGTTGGTTGCGTCGCGGTGCGCGCGCGTGCGCGCGAGCGCCCGCGGGTGTGGGTGCGTGTGTGAGTGTAAAGGAATGCGTGCGTGTGTGTGTGTGTGTATGTATGTGTGCGCGTGAGCGGCGACGACGAACGTCACGTCGCGACGCAAGCCGCGCCGCGACGCGACGTTCCCGAGAGGATCGGTCACCAGTCCGGAGCACAGGGCCGCAGCTAGATTGTTTTCGCGGAGCGTGTATTGTCAAGATATCGTAGAAGTCTCTTTGTGTTGAGAAAACCAGATGCCGGTCCCGCTGGTTTTGATCTCGAAAGCGACCTTAACGTTTCACCCTCGTGAATATTTCTGTGCGAAGGACTGAGCTATTTTCTACCTGAACTTCATTATCTAAATGATTATCTAAATGAAGGAACGGTCGTCCGATGTTTATTGTGTTTATGTTAGTCTTAGTATCCTTAAATTATTATTAATCGTGTTTATGTCAGCTATGTCCATTAAATTATTATCGCCTATGTTTGAAAATTATTAAGCTCTGTTAGATACGACGAATAGATCAGGTAACTACATGTGCTTACAATTAGCTCTACGAGTCACGAAGGTGTATGATAATATCTCACTAAAAGAATAATTTTAATTTTTTTAATGTGAGATCTCATAGTCCTTCGTGACTCGTTTAGCTTAATTTTTTATATTGACAAAAAGGAGAGAAAATCGCTACATTTCTTTTACTCAAATTTGTATATAATTTAAAAGCTCTTTAATTATCTTTTGGATTATTTAACACAAGCACGAAATGTAAATTTCAGTTTATTATAAACAATTTACGCGCAAGTTTTGAAAGGACAAAAATATTTCTGTGCGAAGAAGAATGTTGCTATTTTTTTATTTTCAAACTTATCGAAAACAAAGTTGTGTTAATTTTTTAAACCTATCAAGTCTTTCTTCTAAAGTTTTTAGGGATGTATTACATATATTTTCAAAATAATAAAAGATTACTGATTATTTTACACAGAAAGAACAGGTTTGCTGAAGTATCAAAAAATTTAGTAAATACTTCGAAAATAATTTTGTTGGATCATAAAAATAATTATAATAATGTTGCAAAAAATTTTAATATTCTAGCAATTAATTTGTGAGTATCCTATATAATTATTTTAATGGTCCAAAAAAATTATTTTCAAATTTGTATGTGTAGCTAAATTTTTTATACTTCCGCTTTTTTTATATAGATACAAAACCGTTTTTTCGGCACTTAAAAATAATACAAAAAATTTTGCAACGATTTAGAACCTGATCAAAAATTATTTCAATATAAGGAATGTTTTTCTATTTGTGTTCTAATGGAAATATGAAAAATATATTATAAACGAAAGTTCCTTTTTTGATTATAGATACTTCAAGTATTGAAAATGATTTATGCAGTTTCGTTGCAATCCAGAAATTAGTTTTGTCAATAAACAGAATTTATTTATTTGTTTATTTACAGAAAACTCATCTCTGCATCGCAATGAAACTTTACATAAACCATTTTGAATACTTAAGTAGTTACACACAAAAAAAAAAAGATTTTTGTCATGACGTATTTTTAAGTTATAATAATAAAGATTAATAAATAAAATAAATTAACTATAAAAATGTGTTGCTCAGTAAAAATAGAATATTGTAAACATAACTTTCACATACGAGTATAGTTTTTTTAATAAAATATAAATATCAATACATTTGAAAAAATTGGTATAATATATCTTTAAAGAAGAAAAAAGATAAAGTTTAGAAACGAAGCTGCGAGGCTCCGAAAATACCTTTCTTTTACAGCAACTGTTTCCTCCCGCTTTGTACGACGATGCTGTAATGGCTGTAATGTAATATGTGACATTTGTAAATAAATCGTATCCATCCCGACGATCGATAAGATGTTGTTGATTACTCGCTCGAAAAAACATCCCCTCGAACTTTCCCGCATTTTTATTTACAAAGTTCTTTTTACATTGTTGCAGACGTCTCCTCGCACATTTTCGCACCTCCCACTTCTTTTTCACTCATCGTTTTGGTAAGCCCGATATTTTATTTATTTTCTCCTTCAACATTACCCGTATTGTTTTTTTTTTTCCGATTTGTTTACTAGCCTTAGTCATATATTTCACGCTTATCTTTTATCAACGAATCGCCTGTTTTGTACGTTTGAACGCGACATTTTCTCGTGTATGTGTTTCATATCGATGAGAAAATAGCGAATCGATTGCAACAGTTGATCGCCTGCGTTACCGCGTAACGTCAGAATCAGAAATGCAGCTCGCGTTGCAGCTGAAAGATGTCGCCATCGGTTCCATACTAACACGCACGTTATTCTCTCGGCTTTCGTTCCGCGTCCAGAATCAAAAGCATTTGTTAGAAGGTCGGAACCGCTTTATAATTAATTCGTTTTGTAGATAATACAATTATTGATAATTCCAATCGATTTCCAGCATTTATTATTTACACGTCGTAATATTAAGCGACATCGTCGTAGCAGAGTCAGTTGAATCGATAAGAATAATTGCGGAATTTTACGGAATTAGTAGAACAAATTAAAAAAAAAAAACTCGATAAAATTATATAATAGATTGACCAAAGTTTTTGCACGACGAGTGATAATATTAAATTTGCAAAGCGCGTTACGACGGGGAGATCGTACCGTGCCGGCGATATATCGAAAGAGAGATGACACTTTCAAACGGTACGGCAAATCAAATTTATACGCAAAACACGACTCATTGTTAAAAATGCGCCGTCCGTTTCCGGCGTTGCTATAGAAAATATCGCGATATTAAAATCCAAACAAAAATATCGACGTTCGTCGACCATACGGAACGGAAGGTTCATTCGTACGTCGCGAATAAAGGGTGCATTCTGCCCGGCCCTTTCTGTCCGGCAGGAGGAAGAGGAACGACGGACGAAAAATAAAACTCCGCGAACACGGTCGCGTGAAAAATTAAATCGCGTTTATACGGGTGTCGCGTTATTTCATCGCGGACGAGCGCGGCGCGTATCGAGATCTGGGCAAACATTTTTGGCGCCCTTTCAGACGAATTAGCAGAAACGGCCGCGACTTTTTCCGCGTCCGTCGTCGGAAATATTTCACGAAAATTTTTCCACCGCGGAAGACAGTCTCCACCCGAGACCGTCGAACATTTCGCTCGCGAGATACAACGAAAGGGGGGGGGGGGGGCGAAGGGGGTGACAGCGGGGCACGCGAAGAGGGTTGGGCACGTGTCAGGCGAGTGTTTTACTAGCCTTAATTTCGTGTGCTTTCGTAGCCAATATGTCGGGGCAGTAAATTCTAAACTTTCCGCCCGGCTTCGCATTTCGGCATCGCGCGTTTTTGCGATCGCGGTTTTAACGACTCCCCCTTCTACCCTATCGCCTGCGCGAACCATCCCCTCCCCTTTCGACTAACGGAGGTCCTAGGAAAAGCTGCCGGATATTAATTTTGTAAATAACGAACTTCCGGCGTCGACGAGAAACTTTACCCGCTCCCTTCTGTCGTTTCGTCCCTCTCGCGAGTCCCCCGCTTTACAGGGGCGGAAGGGGATCGCGCTGGTATCGTTATAACTGCGAGAGCGTATCTCATGGGCGAGTCACGGAAATTTTTCCTCGGCGAGACTCAGGCGAGAGGCGGCACTTGCAAAACAATTACGAATCGTCGCTATTTCCTTCCACCATTGTGCGGCCGGGGCCCGTGAAAGGAGGGCCGAACTTTGAAATTCATTGCGCGCCATTGTGCGCGGCCGCTCTTATTTCGGCACGAAAGGGGAGACGAGGGATGGGGAGGGAGCGCGTACGACGCACTAAAAATGAATAAGACAGGGCTATTAAATATTCGCCGAGCGCCGGTACAAAAATTCACCTCGGCCCCGCGCATATACATACAATACATAGACACACATACACACGTATTAAATAGAGAAAGGGGAGAAAGAACGCAGTAAGGGGGAAGAGGGGGGGGGGAGAGGAGAGCGAGAAAGAGAGCGAGAGAGCTGTGAATCGATTGAACCAACATAAACGTGGTGGAGGACTAATAAAAAAAAAACAGTAATTTACTTACTAAAACATAAAGCCACGTCCGTGGCCGGCGAAGGAAGGCAAACACATTAAACATTTAGAGGGCATAATAACCCGCGGCATACGTAATACGGCTGGCGCCCTTTTCACGATAGCCATGAATAATGTACACACGCCAAGGTATGACGTAGGCTCGCGCGCTAGACTTGTGTGTATTTCACGGCGAGGTAGATCGACCGGGCTATTTCCAATAACCGGCACTGAGCGCCGGCAACGTTATCGCGCTATCGGGCTCGTGCTCGCTGGCGAGCGTAAGACCATCGCGAGATGGCAGGGGGACATCCCGCTCCGACACCGGAGCCCCCTTTGTATCCGCTTCCGTCGCCGTCGATTGTCGTCGATGCTCGTTGCCACGCTCGCGCCACTTCGCCCTATCTGTTTTACACGAGTTAGCCCTCGAAATAGAGTTATCAGAGAGACCCGTTGTCAACAGGGTCGTGGACAGCGAAATGTGTCTCGGGCTAAAAACTCGACTGACTTACTTTCGCTTGGTCGAATTCTCACCCCCGTTTATTCTACCTGATTCTCCCGATCACTAGGAGGCATCCGAAAGAACTGCGCATGCATTGCACTGAGACAAAGGTACCTCTGTGATGAAAGTATTTGAGATCCAGGGTCTTCGATATAAATAAATCGAAACTCACGAATCTGATAAATTTTTTTTTTTGAATGTTAAATCTTTAAAAATAACCGAAAGGCAATTCTTTTTTGTAAGATATATATTTGTTCTCTCTCATTTTGTTTTTTAATATATATGAAATAAAATGATATATATTATTTTTCTCACAGATTTTCCTATATATACTTTTACGCATGAATTTTCTTAACAATTTAATTACTTTATGAAAAAATAGTCTTTTTATCTCTTTGCCTTGAATAACAAGGATGATAGTATGATACTATAAGGTAATTGCGCGGAATATGATCTACTTGTGTGTAAGTAGTTACATGGACAGTTAAATCTTCACTGCACCCATGTAAATATTGGAAATGTCTCATATTTTCAATTAATGTTCAGAAATTTTTCCTATTTTGAATCTGACCACTAGTTTTCAATACGTTATTATTACATTATCAAACTTTAGAAAAAGTACAAGAAAGTAATCTTTGTACTTACTCTCTATTCGAAATGGTATTACGATTTCACTTTTAGTAGATAAAGCACAACGATGCAAAATCATTTCGTCGAGATTCCTGTTTGAATAATCGCGGCGTGAATGCGCGCAGTTTGAAATAATCGGTTGATACGGAACTTGCGAGAAGTATACCGACGATTAGGTCGATGATTAGCGCGTACAAGTTGTCGCGAATTACTAGCACGGATTGCCAGAGGGGTCACGGCGATTTGTACATCGTATCGGTGCGACGCGACGTGCGCGCGACAATGGCAAAGTAATGAAGTTCGCATTCCAGGCTATCTGGAGCGTAGAATGACAAAACAATAAATCGCTTATCGCCCGCCGTGGCCAGTGGGTGCTCGCGTGCCGTCTCTGCCTCGCCTTCGGTCGTTCCTCGCCGGCGACGTAAAGCGACTCGCCGCGTAATTCACGTAGACGCAACACGTCGCGATAAGAGTTTTGCCGCCGTTTAAAGCCTCACGAGCGTAAATCCCCTCCGGGACGTACGATCTGCACGAAAATTAAATTTCACACAGTCAAGCCTCTCTCTCTTTCTCTTTCTCTTTCTCTCTCTCCCCCCTCTGTACTCAATGTTCTGCAAGCTAGAGAAGTTCTAGAAAAGGAATGTTAACCCTTCGTTATTACTCGTGGAATATTCAGAACACCTTTGCCTTATAAATTTACTAAATTTATGAATGATATTTATGGTATTTATACACATTATTATTTGGCATTAACTACTTCACAATTAAAAAAAAAATTTGCATTTATCTTGATTTAAACACTCTAAAAAATATGGGTGAATTAAATACCATGGAGGTATTAAATATAATTCTCACCGTGTTGGGGTCGATATAAACATCAAGAAAAACATAATGTGGATTTAACATCATGATTTTAAACTCATTGATTTAACACCATTTTAAAATGCAAATGATGTTAAATTCATAGTGTTGAATTCATACCATATTGATGTTTATCAACTCCAATACAGTAAAAAATTCACAAGTTGAAAAAAAAGATTCTAAACGAACAAGCTAAATCTTTAGTGCTTAAATAATTTCGTGGATTTTTATTCATGTCCAATTCTGCAAACTGCGCGTCGAATTTAATTTTCAGTCTTGAAATGCAATCCAGAATTAAAGCAGTAATATCACAAATTGACAAGCAATTTGATAATATTGATGCTCATATAAGCATCTTAGATGCTAATAATATTTTTCACAATAAATTATTTATAGATTTGATGCTTATCAGCATCACATTATTAACATCTTCTAAGATGCCTATGAGCATCAATTATTAAGTTACCAATTTAATTTGAGATATTACTGCTCTAACTCTGTTAGGATTGCGTTTCGAGACTGAAAATTAAATTCGGCGCGCAGTTTGCAGGATAGAACATGTAGTATATTAATTCACACGGAATTATTTAAGCGCTAAAGATCCAACTTGACCATTTAGGGCTTTCCGATTTGTTGTGTACTCACATTACGATCTTAAAAGATACTGTAATTAATACAATAAAAATTATAAAATTATAAACACCATGATATTAAATTGACACCTATAATGCTTTTTAAAGTAAAGGATATATTCACTGAGAAAAATTTCTGGTTGAAAATGGACGAACCAGAAAAGAAATTCTGATCATATCAATTAGAATTAGAATTTATCTCAATTAGAATTATAATAGATTCATTCAGAAAATTCAGATTTGTCCATATATATATTTTCAATCAGAATATCAATCAACTCTTTAGCACCACTTCGAAATTTTCAATCATAATTACATTCTGGGGCGTTGAGGAAAACAGCATATATTTTTATG